ACCGCTCCTGTATACACTTGGAGTTTGATATAGCAGGCACTGGATTAACGTAAGTATTCGTTTAACTGACTAACCTTGGCACCTTGCTGTATATATAGATATATGGTAGAGTCCCTTCTTGCCATGTCTGCCGTATTTCATTGCATCATGCTGTTATGTACAATTTTACTTGTGTTCAAGCGTGCAAGAGCACTATATAAAAGTTTGACTATTCCTTATTGCCCATTACTACTTCATGTATTGTCTAGTTGGTGCTCAAAGAGATTCCACGAGTCTTTTCTCCATCTTTTTTTATTTCTGAAAGGAAAACTTTGCTTGTAAGCTATTATCAAATTGTTCTGCATTCGTTATGTTCTCTGAAGGAGAAAAGCCTTAAAATTTATCATTATTGTTTCAGTTATGAAACTGGAGATCATGTTGGAGTCTATGCTGAGAATTATGATGAAATTGTGGAAGAAGCAGGAAAGCTATTGGGTCAGCCACTGGATTTGATTTTCTCGATTCACACAGATGCAGAAGATGGTACACCTTTGGGTGGCTCACTACCACCACCATTTCCTGGTCCTTGTACACTTCGCTCTGGTCTGGCGCGATATGCTGATGTTTTAACCTCTCCTAGAAAGGTTATTATCTTTCTTTTCCCTTACGCTGAGCTTATTGTTTTGGTTTCATATTGGGGAATTGGCATCATTGGTTCTTATTTAGTTATTATACTCAGGCTGCACTACTTGCTTTGGCTGCTCATGCATCAGAACCCGGTGAGGCAGAGAGATTGAAGCATTTGGCATCACCTGAGGGCAAGGTTCATATATCTACATTTTTCAAATGGTCTTTCTGCAAAAAATTGATTTAACTTTTTTTTTTTTGCTACTTTTTTTTTTTTTTTTTTTTTTTGCTACTTTGGTTCTCCCTGATCTTGTTAAATTATTCTCTTTGGAAATTATCTCTCTTTAGGATGAGTATTCAGCTTGGATTGTTGCTAGTCAAAGGAGTCTATTGGAGGTCATGTCTGAATTTCCATCAGCAAAGCCTCCTCTTGGCGTATTTTTCGCTTCCGTGGCTCCTCGGTTACAACCGCGTTACTATTCTATCTCATCCTCACCAAGGTGGCTCAACTTTAGGCTTGTATTACTTTATGGGTGTATTGATTCTCATGAAGAATATGGAGATTCTAAACTGCTTAACATGTATCTGCAGACTATATCCAAACCGAGTTCATGTCACATGTGCCTTGGTTTATGGTCCTACGCCTACAGGGAGAATCCACAAAGGGGTTTGTTCAACTTGGATGAAGGTAATAGGAACAAACTTTGCTTATGCTAGCATTGAGTTAAAACATATTACTTGTCAGAATGTTGTTATATATATTTGGTAGCCCATTATATACGTGTTGTAGGATTTTGTGACAGCATGCTGTTGCATGTCAAACCATGACAGTTTTCTGAATTTTTCTCTTATATGGCCAGAATTCAGTTCCTTTAGAGAAAAGCCAGAATTGTAGCTGGGCTCCAATCTTTATCAGAGCATCTAACTTCAAGTTGCCGGCAGACCCTTCAGTTCCAATAATCATGGTGGGACCTGGAACTGGTTTGGCTCCTTTCCGAGGATTTTTACAGGTTTATGCTCCTTTAATATTCTGCACATAAATGGGTTATTTAGATTGCTGAATTTTCAAAATTTAACTGTGCATCTATTTTCCAGGAAAGACTGGCTTTAAAACAGGATGGCGTCCAACTTGGTCCTGCTATACTCTTCTTTGGATGTAGAAATCGTAGAATGGTATTCTGAAACCTGTAAGTTTTGTGGAAGCTTACCGGCCAAATTAGTGCTTATATAATGCTTAATCTGTAGGATTTCATCTATGAGGAAGAGCTGAACAAGTTTGTTGAAGAAGGAGCTCTTTCAGAGCTGATTCTTGCATTTTCAAGGGAGGGGTCTCAAAAGGAGTATGTTCAGCATAAGATGATGGACAAGGTGTGTGCTTTCACATTCAATAGTGAGTCTCCTTTATAGTCTTGCCAAGCAATGATTTACCTTAAAATTGTGATTTGCAGGCCTCGTACTTGTGGAGTCTGATTTCTTCTGGTGGTTACTTATATGTCTGTGGTGATGCTAAGGGCATGGCTCGAGATGTTCATCGAACTTTGCACAATATTGTTCAGGAGCAGGTACTCATCCCCACCCCAACCCCACCCCCACCCCCCATCCCCCACCAAAAGCATTTCACAGCTAATAGACACAGGCTATTGTCTGACATTATCAGAACACTATTCGTACAAGTTAGTCATAATTACTAGTTGTTGTCTGGCTGATATCATTATTGTACAGGAGTAGTTGCGTACTGCAGTTTATGTTTCATATTATCATCTCGTCTAGACCTATGTCAATCGTATGAAGCACTGTTTGAAGTTAACTGCTATGAAACCCTGCAGGAATCCTTATCATTGTTTCTCTGATCTTTTTCCTTCAGCTAGTTTTGTCTTTAAAAACTTTAGCTTTGTAATTCAAAATCAAGAGTCATGTTGAACATGTTACTAGATGCCTTGGTAATGCAGCACCTCCCAAAATTTGATCTGGCTTCACTTAGATCGAAAATCTATGATGATTGGTTTGTGAACCATCTGTCCAACGTCTGTAGTGACATTTTTCATATCATTTCTGAAGAGTATGAAAGCCGTGAACTATTTAGTTGAATATTGATATCAGGTCTATGTGAGGAAATAAATTGAGTTACTTAAAATGCTTACATCTCATTGGCCAATACTTGCATTTTTCTAATATGAACATGTCGTAAACTACAAGAGAATTTTCTTATTCGCAGTTAGTTCGCCCAAGTTAGGACATGTGAAGTCAATATGTAGTTGGCCTTTGTTCATATTCGTATGCCTTTGAACTTCGAAGTGACCTTGATCTCTGGTTTGGATTTTTGTTGGACTCTATGCCTTCTCTGCCCCTCTTCCTAGACCTGATATTTTGCTTTATTATTTGGTGGCATCGAAGGGCAGGTTGAATAAGAGAATAATATGTGCTATCGTTCTATGTCTTGACCAAGTGCTGTCAAAACTATTATTTTGTACTCGGTAGTGTGTAACCTATAGTAAACGGATGAAGATGATTAGGAGCTTCTGTTCCAGTTGGCTGACTCAATTTTGTATGGCAGTCATATACGAAGTATAACAAAACCTGTACAGATTTGACAAAGTTTATACTTTTTGTGATATGTTTTCAGGAGAAGGTGGACTCCTCGAAAGCAGAATCTCTTGTGAAGAAATTGCAGACAGATGGACGATACCTTCGGGATGTGTGGTAAGCTGTATCTAGGAGTTACCTTGTTCTCATCTGAGCAGTAATTACAGGGCTCTTTGAGCTCAATCGACTCATTTTCCATCCAAACTCAAAATTCCTACGGCAGATGATAGTGGATGGTGGGAAGTAAGCTATTGCTTACTCCACTTTTCTGTATCTATTGTCACCCTTTTTGGCTGACTAGAGGATAGAACATTGTCGAATCTATATACATTTATTGTTTCTACAATCAAAGGCTGTGTGGCGGTTGCAGAAGTTATCAAGTTTACTCGCAAGAGATTGTAGGTCATTAGGATACCCTTGAAATCATGAAATGTATTGTGCACTATTGTTTATCTAAGATGAAGAATAAAGCTTATAATTTATGTTTATATAGGAATTTAATTTTATGTATTTTTCTTCAGCAATTTGCCTTTTCATCTTGTTCTGGTTTATTAGATGATTGGTAAAAGGCGTTCAAGATTGATATTTTGTAGTTGTGTATCTTCTTGTATAAACAAGACTACAGACACCATGCTTTTTCGTAAGATGGTTTAGGGCTAGGAGGGTGTCAGGATAATAATCATAGGCGACTTTTTTTTTTTTTTTTTTCAGAAAATGATAGGATCACTAAATTATTACAAGTATTATTTGCTTAAAAGGGTAAGGGAAAAAAAACCCTTAGAGAAAGAGCTAAATGTACAAAGTATTGAGCAATTTTTTTGTACCAAACCAAAACCACGATTTTTATTTTTTTTTGAACTACCAAAACCACGATATTAGTATATTACTATTATACCTATTTGTTACCCCTTTCGTATTTTAATATTTGCACTTTAATTTGCACTATTCACATACTCTATTTGACTTAAATAACACTCTAGCTATGTAGGATTATAAGAGAGTCAAATCCAGTCTAAAATTGCTATTTATTTATCTTAGGTGAGCCCAAACTTATATAAGGTTTTCAATCAAGCTCAAAAATATTTATAATTCACTCTATTAGGATGCTCTATTGCTTATGAACAACTCACTAGAATTCTTAATAGGATTTTCTTATTTTTTATTTTCATAAGCGAGTTTAAATTACTAGATTAGTTCTCGTGTCATGAACGATAATTTTGAATAACCATTATTAAACTACCGTTATGATTAGTTGTTTATAAACAAAATAAAATCTAATAATATAGTTGACAAATTTTGATCAAAATTAAAGATTATGTAAAATATGTTAGGTATAAAATGATTAGAAAATTACACAATATGGTCAGCGACAAACAAAAGTTGCTACTTAGGCCTTGTTTAGTTCAACTTATTTTAACTTATTTCAGAAAAAATAAGTTCAGATTAGATCAGATCAGAAAAAATAAGTTCAGATCAGAACATCGTTTTATGTGCGGTTTTTTATCGCTAAATATTCTTAATTTCATAATTGAAAAAATTGTGAAAATTACATATTAATAAACTACACATTATTACGAATTTAACAAGATCCCACTTGATATATTTTTTCCTTATAGATTATCGTACACTTAAGGTCAAAGTTTGGTCAAATTAGACAATCAGATCAGACCAGATCAAACCAGACCAGATCAGATCAGACCAAATCAGATCAGTAAAAATAAGGTGAACCAAACAAGGCTTTAGTCTATGTTTATATTAAAGCTCATTTATTAATCGAGTTTCAGCTCAATTACGTTCATTTACTCGACATTAAGAAAACACACATAAAACAAGCTTAACTAACGCAGCTTGTTTATTCCCCCCATTCACTCAAATCGCTCTTCAATGCTCTGTCATTGTCACTCAGACACTTTCTCTCTCCTCTCTCCTCCACCTCCTGACCTCCCCCTTTCTCCTTCCATTGCTGAAAATTCACAACAATTCATTCAAAATTCCATCGCCATTACTGTACCTTAAACCCTAGCTTAGGGTTTTAGCTTCAATTTGGGGAAAATTTAAAATTAATTTCATCATCTTCACCAAATCATGTTGTAGTAAGCTTCGAATTTTTTATTAATCGGAAGCCATGGTTGATGCTACAGAGATTAAGCTCAAGAAAGTTGCCGTTACTGAAGAAGATGTCTGCACTCTCTTACAGAGGTATATTTTCTCTTTCTCTCTCCTCTAATTCTTCATAGTTGTATGATTTTTGTTAAATTTGATGAAATTCTGCTGTTGATTTTGGTGAAAAATTAGGTATTCAGCGACGACAGTTTTGTCGCTACTTAGAGAGGTTGCGCAATTTCCAGAGGTGAAAATTGATTGGCAGGCGTTAGTGGAGAAGACGAAAACTGGAATCAAAACTGCTAGGGAGTATCAGATGTTATGGCGTCATTTGGCTTATCGCAAACCCTTGATTGAGAATGTTGATCCTGAGGATCCACCTTCGGTTAGTTTTTGATTTGTTTCATGATTTTGACATTATATTCTTTTTGGCGTTTTTTCTTTTTTGTGAATTTGCACTTTGTATTGCATTGAGATCATGAGATGAATTCATTGAATCGACTAAAATCATGATTGCGTTATTTGCCGAATTTTGAGCAATTGTAATTAGGACATGAAACTGACTTGGACTTGTTTTGAATCTTGATGGATAGAAACTTTTGTGACAGTTTTTTCCGGGTTTCTAAAATTGGAAACTCAGAAGTTGAAAATGATACTTTCTAGGAAAAAGGACTCATCAATTGTTTCAGTAATTCATTTGTTTTGCTTTGCCATGTTTCTTACTTGCAAGGAAATTGGGTTTTTGCTTGATTTCTGTAAACTTCCTCGTGCGAAATTTGAGCCTGAGTTGAAGTGAAAAGGAAATAACTTGGATTGATTTGGTTTATTTTTTCGCCAATCTCTAGAAGGTTTTGTTTGTATTTGTGGAATGTGTTTAGACTATTTGAATTTTTTTGTTTTTTTGCTGACACAATTAATTATAGATGTTGTAGCATTGTTTAACTTGGATATACTATTGGCTAAGTTATTAAGACATGTAGTGGAAAGACAGGAATTAAGTATCAACCATTTGCGAAAGGAGGGTTAGGGACAAAAACATACATTCTCTACCTCCAAGGGGTGTTAGGCCTCTTAGAGGGTAGCTTGGAATACTATTTACAACACACCCTCAAAGTGAATTACCCTTAATCGTTTACTAAATGGAAAAATAGATTGGTGAATTCTTTGTATCAGCCACTCCTCCAATATATGTCAAACATAATAAGAATAAATTAAGGAATAAGAAAGTGTAATGTCTGGGTGCCTAATTTGTATGGGCAGCAAGTGTTAATAATAAATGACGTAACATTGCATGACATGCCTTACGTAGCATCATAAGCGTTCTATTTTTTCATGTTTTCCCGGTTTCAGATGAACGTTTTATAGCTTAATGTAGATGCCAATGCATACAGGATGATGATAGTGACCTGGAATATGAATTGGAAGCACGTCCCCCAGTTAGCAATGAAGTTGCTACAGAGGCTTTAAACTGTGTAAAGGTTAGATTCAACATAAATTATATTTGAAGAGAATAATGTCAGATTTGATTTTGTTTTAGTCTTTTTTAGCTATTTATATGCTGGTAATGGGTTCTTTTCTTAAGTCTTAGCCTGAGTGGGAAATTGGCTAGCCATATTAACCGTCTGTTTCTAGATGTCTGCTTAGCTGTCTGAATTTAGATCTCCTCTCTAGTTTATTAAAACAGATGATGCAAACTTTATTCTATTTAATTAAGTTTGGAGATTGGCTAATGGTCATGTGTTAATGAATGATTCGAATATAATTTGGAGATTGGCTCATGCTCTTAGCGATACATAGTTGTTTGAAGATAGAATATAAATTCTTGAAGCCAAGCAAGCTTTGCTCTTATCAACCAGGGCTTGGCTCACTTGGTAAGGTTCTTACCCCATACCCTTGAGGTTTGGGGTTCAAATCTTGCAGTGGTTGTGGCCTTGTGGGTAGGGATTCCCTTACCCTCCCTTAGTCCCTTCTACTCTCAAGTGCCCAACCAACAAATACTGGACTAAAATAAAAACTGTGAGAAGGTTAGGTGAGCAAGCTTTGCACTTGCCTAGTAAAGATCCATTCATTCTTTACTCCGCATACACCACTAAAGTTCCACATGAATTGGCTTCCA